TTCCCCGAATGAAAATTCAAAGGGAGAATTTGAGAGATGTTTTAACATCCCCCCCCCCCCAGTTCTGATCGGGGACGGCTGGTCAATTAAAATGGAGGAGTCTTTGGGCAGGTGGGGGGGAGGTAGAGAAAAACCCCCTTGACTGTCAATACTTAAGAAGGGTCTTGGGGCCAAAGTCCACCGCCTTAACTCTGTCCCCAGATGGAAGCTTCGTTCCGTTGTTTTCATTTGCGCCCGAAGTCACACCAGGCTTAAACTCTTAATTGTATTTATTTACGGTAATTCGAAAGGGAGACCCAGGGAGTCGACAAAGCAATTCGGCGCGTTTCTGAAGGCTGCGGCCATGGCGCAGCGCAGCTCCTCCAAACGCCGCGCCGTCTGGAAGGGCTTGGATATTCGCGGAAGCCTCCGGATGGCACGGAAAGCCGCGCAAGTTTCGAATCGGACGGAGGGAGAAGCGCCCATTATGCAAAGCGAAAACTGACTAGTGGGGGGGTCAGAATAGGGCGGAAAACCGCGATCCACCATTTATCAGCCAGGAGTAGGGAAATGGGTTTAAAACCAACCAACCAACCAGCCTTTAAGCGTCTCAAAATAACTTGGCGCCACGGCTTTTTGACTGGGGGGGGGAGGGAGGAGGAGGGGGGAAGAGAGATACTGTGATTTGCTGTTGAGGAAGACAACATAGTGGCTGTACACACACACACACACACACACACAGAGAGAGAGAGAGAGAGAGAGAGAAAGAGAGAGAAACCAATTAACTACAGTTTCTCAACTTTGGCGACTTTAAATCCTGGGACTTCAACTCCCAGACTCCCCCAGCCAGCAAAGCTGGCTGGGGGATTCTGGGAGTTAAAGTCCACAGGATTTCAAGTCGCCAAGGTTGAGAAACACAGCACTAGAAGCTGAGAGAGATTGAAGTGCCTGCATTCGCAGAACGTGCCCAAATCCAGTCCGGTTGGTTAAACTTTTTTGGGGAAGGGTCCATACGCATTAGCCCTTTAGGTTCGTTTCTGCTTGAAGGGCTCAGGCCGACCCAGAAGGCGAACCCATTTAGAAAAAGGGTGAAGCGGATGCCTTTGTGTAAAACGAAGCCACATCCTGAAATGCCCGTTCCTGAGCGTCTCCATCACTTTAGGAAACACGCTTATACGATCCCCGAGTGACTGTGCGTAAGGAGCGGGGATGGCCAGCGCGGCTTTTGATTCCAGGGCAAGAAGGACACCGATAGTTGGGTCAGGGTGGATAGGAGTGAAGGAGCGGGTCAGATTTCCCCCCCTGACCGAAAACACCAGAAGGCAATTCGAAATCCTAGCCCCAATAGCGTCCAACCGGTCTGATGCGCGTTCGTTTCGACCATGGCTGGAGGATGCTAGAAGAAGCTTTAAGAGATTCGCAGGTAAACGAGCTGAAACTGTAACACGGCCTCCTTTTATACTCCATCCACGGCAGGCCTTTACGGGGAGGTCCCGCTCGGTTCCCCGGGGAACAATTGGAACAATTAAATATAAGAAAGGGGATGTTTAACTTGTGTTAAGCAAAATGCAAAAGTATTTTCAGTCACAGAGGATTTGATTCAGATGATGGAGCTTGTCTTCAAGATGACCATCTGAATAGATGCTGTTTACCTTGGACAAAACCTTGGTGCAGCACTGCAGGCCACTTCAGCTGACTGTTATCTGCAGTTCAGCGGTTCTAATCTCACCGGCTAAAGGTTGCCTCAGCCTTCCATCCTTCCGAGGTGG